AATTTTTCTTTATCCCACATCACAAGAATACCCCCAGCAGCCCCATCAGTAGGTGAATAGACCCAGTCCACCTTACTGCCATACCACAGGTTACTGATTACCTGAATACTTATCTCCCCCAACTTGGTCTCTTATAGGCAGACCAAATTAGACTTCCATCTTTCCGTACAACCCTTGATAATCCTGTTTTTTCCGATTATTTATTTTCCTCACATTCCATGAAATGATTTTCCCTAACATCATTACATTCTGCTAGGCTTACCTCCTTTCCCTCCTTCTGCCAATTTTTTAGCTTCATAATTCAAAGACCACTCCAATCTTTTAAGTTCTCTACTCCCCCCTTCTCACTTTCTACTACTTCTCTTTTTTTCTTTTTTCCTCTCTCTTTCCGCTTCCAAGAACCTTAACTTAAGTTCAGCCAACAGACTCAATACTCTATGCTCAAGGCCCTCAAAAGATAGCCCAAACAGTTTACTCACTTTGACAAAATTTCTCTACACCCACCCCGAGTACAGTTCTTCCGCTCCTTGATCGGCCATATGCATCAGCTCACAGTTGAGCATGTCGTTTTGTAAGGGAGACACATCAAGAGCAACCTGATTGCAATCATCCACCAAACCCGACTCCACCACAATCAACTCGCTACTTCTCCCAACCATACTCTCCCAGTCCTCTTTATCAGTCTCAACCCCTTCGGCCCCATTGTTTCCTCCCTCCAAATCAACCACAGAGAAGCCAGAAGCGCCTGACTGAAGCGAACTAAAAAGATCTTCGACCCCGACTCCACCTACCTTCGTCCTGGCTACGGAACACGTCCCACCCACTTCCTCTCCAACCCTAGCCCTCACCAACAAAGTCAGGTTCTCTTAGGATTTCTCCACACCTTCTCCTGATTTTAACCCTTTATACTGACCCGCTTGAACCGGATTTCTAGGCGAGTCGGACTTGACCCGCTTAGGCTGTCAAATCTTCCTCATCCGTTTTTTACCCGGCCCAGGATCATTCACCCACTTGCCCTTTTCAGCCCACGAGAATTTATCTTTTTTTCCTCCCTCATTCGGCCCACTGTGCGCCATTCCCTTTTCATTCTCCCGTCCTTCCCTCAACACGTGACCCCCACTCTCCTGATTTTCAAATTTTAAATCTCTTCTACCTGACCCGCATTGATCCACCTTCCCTTCCTGCCCTACCCGACTCAATTTCCTGATTGGTCGATTGAGGATATCAGCGAACAGACGCCTTCTCCCTTTCCACCAGTTCAAGATTGCATCTAAGACATTTAAATACAACAGTGTTTTGCACCATCTGGGGGAAAGATTCTCATTCAATCGTTTTCCTTTTTTCCCTCAACCACACCAGGGGTCCATTTTCACCCCCAGCGATTTCATGGACGACATCCATTAATTTCCACCAGCCTTCAGTCCGAGCCCCCTCTGGGAAAACTAACATATTGGACCTCCCTCTAGTGTCATCGTTACCTTCTGAAAACACCAGAAATTTTCGTCGTTTATTGCAGCTTAGTACCGAGCGCAACGACCTCCAACAACTTCTTCGAAGCCTACTCCAGACCACCTCTCCCTTCTCTCATCTGAACTCTCTAAAACTATTTAGGAACCATTCAACTTCTTTCTCGAGAAAAATAGACCTCCGAGAGTCCCTACCATTTTCGTATACTCTGATACCTCTACCCTCTTCCACTACATCAAAAGATTTCTGTTCAACAACAAAAAATTTTCGCCGGCCCACCGGCATGGTTGGCCAGGGCGTTGATCGCCCCAATCGGTAAATCACTCAGAGGACCCTATAAATACAGGAACTCCATAGACACTATTTGGATTTCGTTTTTTTATGAGTCTGAGAGAGAGAGAGAGAGAAAGAGAGAGAGAGAGAGAGAGTGGCAAATGACAAGCAGAGAGCTTAACTTCAATATATTCACAAGCACTAATTTTTGAGTTGCTGCACGCATAGATGTAGGTAAATGCATCTTCCCATTTAACAAGATGTATTTTTCTATTGTTGTCCTCGTCTTCCCAAAGGAAGCGGTTTTGAATTGCTTACAATTTCCTAGCCACCTTTTAGGGAATATACAGCACAGATAAATACTAGATCGGGAGATTCAACAAAGTGCTTTTAGTTAGTGTTAACCTTCTACCCTTACAGAGAAAATTCCTTTTCCAGGCCGCCAATTTGCTGTTGGACTTTTTGAAAACAAAAAGGCAAGCAGAAAACTACTCGGAAAAAGTTTGAATCTCTCTCCTAAAACTTGAGATCATTGGGTTCCCTATGTCCAACCCATTCTGCTTTCAATCATGGATCATAAAGGAAGAAAAACCAGTAAACAGTCTACGCCCTAATCTGATTAGCCCTTCCAAAACCAAAACTATATCACAAAGTTAAAGACCACGACAGAATAAGCTATCCTCAAAAAGAATTTTGTAAGGGAACAATGACAAAAAACAAAGCGAAAAGCATTTAATACAAAATAGTATCCTTATCCCTTTGCAACTTACATAAAGGAAATCCCTCAAAAAACCTTAAGCTTTCAAGATATGCATTTTCCACAAAGGTCTTTAAGAATGAAACCTTCACATTGGATGGAGATGACTAATTTTTTATCATGGATAATAAGCCCTCAGACAATTAGATGTAAATGCACAGGCAATATTCACAAATGTAGAGGCATAAAGTCAGACTCCACAGGTGTAAAGATAAAAAGACAACATGATTAAGAAATAACACAAGTCAAAACATGCATCAAAGTCCAGTTTTGATTATGTTACCCCTGGTTTGTACTTGGGAGACCGAGAAGCCAGTTTGTTGAAGAGCTGCATCAATTGAACTGGATTTTCTTTCTCATAGCGCAAAGCATACAACATAACCAAGCGCAGACGGTCAATGTCAGACAGGCTTTCATTATTTAAAAGATTCGTCACAGCCTGCAAAATTGAATGTAAAGACTTGCACTTGCACTTGCGCCACACTTTTTCTTGTCAACTGTCATTGGGAATTTACTCGGCTATTATTATCTCTTGCTAGAAAGTAACACTAAATATGGAGTCATGCATAGAAATAGCTGAAATGAAATTGCATCCTTTTTGGTTGACGACTATTTTCCACAACATGTTGTCATCGGATGTAAACAAAAAATAAACTCAGCACTATTTGACACAAAAATCTATGAATTTCTTTTTCTTTTCTTGTGTATGATTGGTTAATTTAAGTTTCTCGAGATAAAACATATTTTTCTAGAGGAAAATGAAAAGATAACATTTAAAATCATCGGGGTTGCAACCCATATAAAAAAGCTATACAAATAGAAAAATAAGAAATTGCATAAGGCCCTCAGCCTAAATGAGGGAGCATTCCCATGAGATTTCATCGAGGGTAGTGAATTTCAAACAAAATTCTTACAGAATGAAACAATGCTAGCAACATTAGATACAGTGCCATCAAATACTCCCTTATTCCTCTCTCTATACAGAAGAGCATTTGAGAAAAATATCATCCTACAGACATCACTCTCTCAATATTTGTTAGGAAACTTCCACTGCCATGCTAACTAAACTAAGCAACCTTTTTCTACAATAAAAGCAATACAGCAAGACAAATTATGTTCAGCAGTTGAAATCAAATTTACAATAGCTCCCTTGAACAGTTTTTTAATGTATTCCTTAGTTGCAACAACTTACGTAATTTTCTTTTTTTAAAAAAAAGGATTTTGCAAATGTATATGCAATACCTCATAGGCTGCCCCTTGCCCACCATTACAAGCCAATTCCTGTTCTGTTTGCGAAACCAACATGAGCTTTCTCTCTTCAACTATCTTGCTCATTTCTGTGACCAAAGTCACATGCTTCGAAACATTGCCATGCATTTTTCTGTATTCAGGGTAATTGTCAACAAATTTAGCCATGTCCTCTGCAAAACCAAAAGATTAAATTAATTAAATTTTTGGAAGTTATCAAATGAATTTAGAAAATTTAACTTTTCCCCACACATACCTATTGTTTGAATGTTTTGGTTACTTTTCGCAATTTGTTGAAAGTCATCCACCATCCGCTTAATATTCATTCCAATATCTCCAAAATTCTCAAACATGTTAGCTTTGAAAAAGGAGTCTTGCTCTGATGACAGTACAACCTCCTGTAAGCACACTTAGAAAATGGATAATTTTAAACACCACAATAACTTTTAAAGTATTTACACAGTTGTCCTTGAGTTTTGCTCATAATTACAACACAATCCATGAGTCTGCCAAAAAGATAAGTTTTCTTTTGTAGGCATCAAGTTTTTCTTTAACATAAAATACCGTCAGATGTGATTTGAAAAGCACATGACCTTTGTTTAAAAAAAAAGGCAGGAGGAAGCAGATGTAAGGAGTTTGCCAAAAATGAGCTCTTTATGTCGATTGCATTTCACTAAGGCCCAATTTGTAAGTGGACACCAAATTATTTTACAAGAAATCAGTAAGATACCATTAGAGCTGAGCATCAACAAGTTCTTCTAATAGAATCAGTAAGCTTTTTTAAACATAAATAAGAAATACCATTAGAGGTGAACATCAAATTTTTCTGTTCTGGTGTGTGGCAAAGAGATTGTAGCCCATTCAAACACACTTTTATGAGGAATATGGGCGAGAAAAGAAGATTTCATTTGGTGACGTGGGATGCAGTTAAAGCTTCAATGCAGGAGGGAGGTCTCTGGATCAGTTCAATTGTGAATTGAATAAAGCATTACAATGAAAGTGGCCTTGGAGGTACATAAATGAAAGAAACTGTGTCAAGAAGAGTGATGAAAACAAAATTTGGAACGGAAAAGTAAGTTCTGGTGTTCTAAAAGATCTAAATACACCTTCATGGGATGGGGCTGTGGAAGAAAATTATCATTGGCAGGGACGATTTCAAGGGTGTATATGGAGGAAGATTGGGTCAGGTCAAAGGGTCAGCTTTTGGTGGATAGATGGTGCAAGATGGAATTCTTGAACCAGACTTTCCGACAAGTTTTTCCTAGCAAGGAACAAAGAAGAAACAGTAGCAGAATCTTTCTCAAATGACCGCGGTAATGGTTTTTGGGAGGTGGAATTGGTCAAAAACCTTAACGATTGGGAAATAAATGAATACATCAATTTATTCCATATTTATCCAAGCAGGAAAGGCCAAAGGAAGCCAATGGTGAGCCATTCTGGAAACTCAGTTCAAAGCGGCCTTTTTGATTCAATCCTAGTAGCTCTACCTGACTAAGAATGAAAGAATAGAGGATAATTTCCAGAAACTGATTTTGAAAATAAGCATTTCACCTAGAGTGGCTTTTTCATGTGGGAAGCAACAAGATATTGCATGCTAACATTTGAATAATCTTATCATAGATAAATAGTTTTGGTGAAGAGGTGCTATTTGTGTGAGAATGTCGCAGAGACCAGAAACCATCATCTTCTGTTGCCCTTTGTTTATAGTTGGTCTATGAAACAGGTTAACTGGGTAACAGCTGGGGTCAATTAGCAAGGAGATTTAACCTTGGAAAGGTATCCACGGGGTAAGTGCTACCAGAAGAACTTAAGTTTTATCCCTTTTCCTATCTTATGGTTTATTTGGAAAAAAAAAAAAAATAGAAGGGCTTTTGAGGGCAAAGAATTTTTTTTTAATATGTACAATCAAGAATACTCGGTTCCAAACCCCAGGTTTTTTTTTATAAACAATCATCCTTTTTATTCTTTTGAGGGCTTAAGAAACTTGATAAATATTTTAATAGATTTGTAATACGGGTTTTACTCTCTTAGTGCTTTTATATAAAAGACTACTTTCATCTTCAAAAAGCAAATAAGAAGATGATGTTTTTTTTTGGAAATAATAAGAAGATGATGATATAACGACGCATACACATAATACTAATTTACGTAGGTTCTTTCTCTGTTTTCTAGTATATTTGTGTTTTGTTTTCCTAATCTTTTCAGTATTACCATTTCCTAATTTATAGGAGTAACATTTTCATAACCTCATTAGTGTTGATTTCCTATTTCATTGAAGAGCAATACTCTTAATCTTACTAATTCCAGTATTTCCTAGTCTATTCCGGAACGACTATTTTTAACACCCTATAAATACTCGTGTAACCACTTTGAGATATAATTTAGTTATGCGATAAAATACTTCGAGAGTTTCTTAATTTTCTAGTTTATGATGCAAACAAACCCTTAAGTATGATACTTAACTTCTTAGGTATAATGTCTAAAAAGTTCTATATGTGATGCCTAAGTTTTTATTTTCAGTCCCTAAATGGACAAATCAACTTTATTTATCCTACCGTAGAAGGAGCGCACCATTAAAGGTGGATGGATCATCAGAGGTGGATATCAAGTTTTTTAATAGAAACCCTTCATTTCCTCCTTATGCCTCTAGTATCTCTCTCTGTCACTCATTTAAATTCTCGAATCAATCATATGCTTTTCCCACTACTTGAGAGAGAATGCGAGGGGAAGGGAATTTTAAAGATAAAAAACCTAAGAATCTCCCATAAAATAATCTTTTTCTAGACATAAAGAATAATTTGAAAAGAAAGGCAACTACCTTCTTCTTAATTCTTTGGACCGCCTAAAGCAAGAAGATCAAATATTTCCCAGGCAAGTTCTCCTATGGTGGCAAGCGACTCCCTTAGGCCTTTTTTTTAACAGACTCCCGTAAGCTTACTTAGTGAAAACCATTCTGCCCTTTATTCAATAGAAGGAAATAGTAAATTGTTTTTTTAAAAAATCCGTATTAACCAAAGAACAATATCCTGTAAAAAATAAATAAGTTTTTTTAAAATAAAAATTGTGTAGTATATATTAATATATGTACCAAGAGGTGCCCACCATATATTAAGATTTATAATTCAATTAAAGTGTCAATTAAGTTCCTCAAATCCTCCATATAATGAAGAGGATGACCCATCAACAAAAAACCAAGAGTCTGGAACCATTTATTCTTGAGTAAGTCAACCATCTACATCATCAAGCCTAACAAACGCCTTTTTGTTCCTTTACTTCCACACAACCCAAATAATGGTATGCGGAATTAGCTCCCCTTGTTTCCTCCTTCCCTCATACCCTTCCACGCCCAAATTTAATCTCTCACAGGACCTGACATCACCCAGCTGATGCCTAGAATGCTATGCACAGTAAAGAACAAATTAGTTATGAGAAGAGATGGCATAACTACTGATATTTCATCTGCTCCTCTTACACTCTTAAGGAATAATTGTTGCTTCAACTTTTAATATCAATCTGCATTTGCTCCATAACCACACTCAAACCACAAAGCTTTACATCCAAGCGAAAATGTTTTCATCATCAATAAGAATAAGTGCCTTCTTATGATTTTTGTCCAGTGTTTCTAGCTTTTTCCCGTAGAAAAAGATAATAGAAGTGAAACAAAAATCGTCAGAACCCGTAAACGATAGCTATTCCACAGTCAAAGACAAGATAAACCAGAAAAATATATATGTATTATATGTGTCTTATATAATCAAGGTTATAAACGACAGGTACAATCATCATTAACCAGTTGGAGTAAATTGTGTGATTTTTGTACTTGTATAGAGGGTTGTTATTATTAGACAGAAATTTTAGACAACTGTGCAATTTGCCCATATACATGCAGCAAAGGGAAGATGCAATAACCTGCTGATCTTTTGGAACCTTGCCAATGTTTCTCAAATCCACCTTGTTATCCTGAATACCAATTAATTCATGAACCATTGCCTACAAAATTAATTTGATCAGCTAAAGATCCTCATCTTTTAAATATCAAATAAACACAGATACACCTAATATTTGAAACCAGAATAATACGTAAAATTTGAGTCACATGCACCTGATAGGTCCACTGATTCAACAACGGGGTCACAGGGTCATCTCTTCGATCAACTATCATCAGCAGTGGAGAAATCTCTGTTCGTCTAAAATCAAAAAGACCACTTTCTTGCTGATACATCAACTTCTGTAATACCCAAAAAATAAATATCAGATTTTCATTACCCTAAAAATCTAAATAACAAATTCGAAGTCTTCAATCCAAAATACTCTCCATAATATGCATGCCAATCCCAGACCTAAAAGTCAAAATCCGTTAAACACATGCACACATCATTGAAGAAATAATATATCCAACTAAATATAAAATCATGGAAGAAAAAAGTCGTAGACATGCTTGTATTCAGGAGGGCAGACTGATCTTCCAGCCTGCAACACTACTTACTGCTGTTTCTTGTGCAATTCTTTTTGCAATATCAGAGGTCCTCTGATATCGGATAACAGGTCTTCTTTTCAACGCCAAGAAAACTGCTGCAATACCATCAACAATTCGATCACAAACGTTCTGTAAACCTGAAGGATCTACGACTGCAGGGAGCATATAAAGACTATTCCATGGCGTATTCAAGATGAAGTGATATGGATCAAGCGCAACAAAATCAGCATAAAACTCCTGCAATATCATCAAAATAATTTTTTTTAAAATAAAAAATATCATCAAAATAATAACATACAGCAAAACAAAAGTGAGCAAAAACATAAGGCAAAAAGTATTGCTGCCATACCAGATAATACTATTATCTTAGCGCAAAATTAAAATGCATTTATAATGTTCATGTACAAAAGGAGAAATGAACTCCGCCTATAACTCCTCATGATATAGCACATAACTAGTGGCTCTCTCCCTCCATGTTGGTGTATGTGTGACTGCATGCACATGTGTCAACTAAGAGAGAGAACAGCAAAATGATTGGGAAAATGAACAAAATGAAACTATTAGAACAAAAATAAAGAAATCAGTGTCGATAATTGCACAGCCATAACAAGGGGCTATTTTCAAGGTCAACTGGGAAAGCACATGTACTACTTCATTGAACAATTATAGCAAGTTAGCTTCTGTTTAGTACCGGAAAATTTTGCCTATATATCATTTCTTAAAAATTTGATGAAAACAATTTTGATCCTCTATTTTTAAATTGTGGAAAGCATTCTTCATATGGAGATTAAATTTAGACATTTGGCTTTTGAAAATGAATTTGTCTTTTTGAATTCGAGTTTTCAGCTTTTTATTGTGATCAAACTTTTTCTAATTTTCATTTTTAAAATTTATATAGATTTTACTCATAAAATCATACAAGTTAATATTTTGTTTGCGCTTCAATTGTTTAAACAAATATGCAACTCTTATGTATTTTCATCATTAAAGACATGAATAAATGCATGTGAATTTAGCAAATGAAATGTAAACAATGTGTTCATATTAAATGGAACCTAGTTTTTACTTTGGACAACCAAAAATGATTTCTTTGTTATTTCCTTTGACAACAAAAACAGAAAATATGATGGATTGTCTTCAATAGGAAAAAAAAAGCACCAAAATATTCTGAATTCTTTTCCAGCAATGAAAAACTTATTATCATGAACCATGCCATTGATCTTTTGAAGTGATCTTGTCGTGAATTACAAGCAGTATCCTGGTTGTTATATTGTTCTTGTTCAATCGTGGCTTGTGTGTTGTACCCGAGAAAAATATATTTATGAATGTGTTTCCACCAAGTGATCCGTGCCAACATTCAAATCTTTATTTTCAAATTAGCAGTGTGAAGATTTAAATTGCATCAGGTGGGGACCTTTTTACGTGCAAACCCAGATTCTTAATGCCATGCACGTAGATCCAGGTACTTTCAGTATCTAATTCAAATAAATATAAATTCAATGAAGTTACTGCAAATCATTATCACTCAACCAATAACCTCTTATACCAAAATAAAAATTCAACAAAACAGAAAAAGCAACATGAAGTATTACCTGAACTTGTTGTACGACTTCCTGTTCATCTGAATCAGCTAAAATATGAATCTGTGTATCCTTTAATAGGTTAGAGAAAACTGCAAAAGCCAGTATGAGCAAAAAATGAGACTTAAAGAAAACAACTAAGACTTATAAATAAAACTTCAGATAATTTCACATCAGAACCAAATGGAAGATTACCTCACAACCTCAACCAAATTTAAAGAACTTACATAAATGATACTCTCCAAATCTCGGATTAGCAAGGTGGCGCCGTAAGTGTTGAATGTTCTCCGAGACGGGCCGGACAAAATAGATGGCTTTAAGATGTGACATAGATTCTTTTGACATTGAGATGGAATCTATCAGTTCTACCAAAAAAACTTCTTTCTGGAGTAGTTCTGACTGTGAATACACAACACTAACAAAACTAACCTACAAACCATAAATAAAAATTATGTTACGAAAATAAAAAGAGAACAAGAAGAAAACTGATGTTACTTTCTTCTTAATGAAGCATTATCGCAATCCAGCACCAAAGCAATTAAATGGCAACAACTTTTGAAAACAAAAACAGCAAAATTTAAGGCCAAATAATTGTCAAGAAGACTGTTGTATGCTTGGTTTCATGGAACCAACATAACCAAGCATAGGAACTCTTTAAGTGTATTTTCACGTCTTAAGTTAACTTTTATTTGGTAAGCCATTGTCAGTTGCCAAATTTGCAAATGCTGTAACAGCAGGGAATTGATGGCAACAACAATTCAATACAAATTTTTATTTGTTTCATTTAGATGTGAGACAAATAATCTCAATTCTTAAATGTTTAGCATTTGCAAGCTATTAAAGTATGTCTAAAATTCCCACTTTTCTCAATATATAGTTATCATTTGGCAACATTTTGGCTACATTATTTTTTTCCTACCAAACGTAATAATGAAGGCTACATCATCTAACAATGAATTTGAATAATCAAATCAAGAAAAAGCGGCTCATAATTGGACTCAATATGATGCAAAGCTGTCTCCAGACAAGAGGAATGATCAGTTTCTGCACCCTCAATGTCTGATTCTCTTTCGTGAGATCTGACTCTACATGGTGGCAACCCTTGATGCGTTGCTCATAATACTTTCCCTTTCTCAACAAAAGAAATAACAGTAATGCAATAAAATGTGCAAAAGGCAAAACTAATGAACTAGATGTGCTTCTAAATCAATTTTGCTATGAAAATCATTAAATATGAAGAGGCCCAAATTAGCTCAGTGGTTTCATTTAAACCAGCAGAAGAACTGAGTGAGCTTTGAAGCAATCTATGAAATTCCTGAACAAGCTAAGTCAACTTCTATGGTTGAAGATACAGGAGCTGATAATGTATGAGAATGTTTTCATGGCAAGAAAAGAAAAGGCAAAAAGATCCCATGAAGATACAAGGTCAACTGAATGTTTTTGTTGTTTTTCAACATTAAGTTTTTTAGATAATCAGCTGAGAAGCATTTGTTAACTGAAACTTAGCAATCTTCCAATCTTTATGAAGCAAAGAGCAGGCTCTCTTAGGCCCAGTTCAGTAAGAAATCTGTGTTTTCTAAGAAAATATTTCCTTTTAACAAAAAATATGTTTAGTTCAATAAAAATCAAAATATTTCATGGAAAGTTAGTTTTCAAATTGCATCGGATACTCAACACAAAAGGTTTGTGTTTTGAAACTAAAACATGGAAATTACACAAAAGTACTAAGTTTTTGGGTTTAATTTAAATCTTCTCCCTCTAGCCTAAGTCAACCCACTGAATAACAAAGACTCCTGACAACCGCCACTCCCACCTAAGTCAACCCACCGAATACTACCAAAGACCCCTAACAACCACCCCTCCCGCTAACACCCACGAAATCATTGTCGTTGTTGTAAGTATCTCTTATCATATTCATAAAATGTAACAATTAGCTGCTAGATTATGGAAGAGTTCCATAAAAGTATAGAACGTTACAAAGCAAAAAGTATATACATATGTAAATCTCCTAAAGCCAGCCTTACATTAGCATTTGTGCTCCAAATGATCCTAACATCACCATCTCTTGGCAAAGTTAACCATTCTTCATAACAACTTGATCTTGTACCACAAATTCCTAAAAGCAAGCATATGCCTCAAACATTGCTCTAGAAATAATGGCAAAAACTACCAACATAAGTCATGAAATGGATACCAAAAAAATGCGAGTCCCGATCAAGGAGAATAAAATTAAACGGAAACTTTAATGCTTAAAAGCTACAACCAATTGAAAGAGAGTAGGTTACCGTTTGAGGATCGAGAATGAGAACCTTCATGCCGGTGATGTCCTGCAACATCCGATTGATGTAATCGCGTACGGCCGCTACCATCACCATATTCTTTTATTGAATTTGCAATCTGATTAGCCCTCTTCTGATGCGCACTTAAAGATCTCCCCAATTCTCCGACGATGATTGACTGTGTTAATGGTCAACCATTAATACTCAAGTTGTAGACTCTCAGATCTTTACAAAGGACGGTGAGAGATTGCTGAGATTGCCAAACAAAAAGAAAAAGGTTAAGAATATGGATGTTCAATCAAACACTTCAACAGACCCAACGGTAACTTTGGTAACGTCGTAAAAACCATGGGAAACCCTAGATCATGGACGACACCCGGAACAAAAGAAGCCCCTTTTTATTTTTATTTTATTTCTTCATGTCACCAAAACGAACATGTAATCAAATATAAAGAATAAAAAAAGTAGAAGTTACTGAGTTGAAAATGGAGAATATGTTTCAAGCGCATATGGGACACCTGCTGGTAAAATCGCCACGGGGTATTTCTTGAAGATTTTATTGGAAAGAAAAGATGGAAGGACAGAGTGGAAAGTATCTTTTCCCTTTGCTTCGTTTGGAGAGAAGGAAATAAAACTGATTTTCTTTGGCGGTTGACAAAAAACCAGTAAAATCGCAGTCGCATGCAGAGCTTCTCTTTTTTTTTTTTTTTTTTTTTTTTTTCTGAAAGCAAGCTTCTCACAGAATTTAACTTACATTATTAATTAGTTAATGTATTAATAAATTAAATTTGTTAATAATTATTTTTAATTTATAATATAAATATAAGATAACAAGTTTATATTCTTATGAGGTGTTTGGAAGATTGTTTATAAATATATGTTACAATAATTTTATAATTTTATTTTGTTTATTTGTATTTATAAACAAATAGTATAAATTTTTTATAATTGTTGCATGGTTCTCAAAAGTATAATTTTTTTATTTTCTTCAAACAATAAAATTGATGGTTTTGTGTGATTTAAATAATTTTTTATTTATTTATACTCTATTTTTTTTATTTACATTTATACCATAATCTTATTAATTATATATCTTTTATTTTTTTATTTTTTAAATAATTTAATAAAATATACAATTATATTATACTATTAATTTAAATAAAAATTATTATTATTATTATTACATATTAAAATATAATATTTTTAAATATGACATAATTTTATAATTACCATATTCTATCATTATTTTACAATACCATATATTAAGGAATAATTTTGAATGTCATCAAAATACACTTTTAATGAGTTTAAATTTATTTCTTATCCAAAAAATTTAACTATTATACCAATATATTGGTGACGACAGTTAAATTTTTTTATTTCATTAAAATATTTAAAGAGTAGCATTACAATCACACATAACTATAATAATGATTAGATTATGGTGCATTATGTATCTATTGATAAACTATAATTGTAATGTGATTTTAGGCAATGTATTAAATTTTTTATTTATTGTTTAACAATTTCTGTGGACATATAAATTTTTTATTTCCATGTTAATATAATCTAAGATAAATGGTTAATTTCAAGTGAGTAAAATACTAATTACAAACAGAAATCTGATATTTTTCTACGAAGTAACTTTTATTAAATAAACACAAAAATAGTAAAGTATTCATAAGGACCAAATCAACCTAAAACAAACCTTTTAGATGTAATCAGCCCAAGAATCACCAGACCCAGCATAAATCACGAATTAGAGCCCAATTCTTTTAAACCCAAAAGCCCACTAGCTTTAAGTTCAGCCCATAGACAGCGCATAGCTATTGGAAGCCCAACCAAAATTGAGAAGCTCGGCCCAGTAAATTTGACCCAAATACCAAGGCCCAGCCCGACTCACCTCAAACCCCCTCCAAACGGCATCGTTTTCCCCGGGAAATTTTGTTCCTGTGGTTCTCAAACGTAACAGAGAAGGTAAGTGTTTGGATTGACTCCAAAAAGAAGAAAAAGAGGAGGGGCACAGAGAATTCGGGAAGAAAATCTGTTTTGGGGACGAGTGAGAGGTAGAGAGAGACACGGCCTTCAAACGGGGAGTGGAAAAACCGAGGCAACAGAGAATTGAGTGAGGATAGGCAATAGAGAGTATACGACTTGGCGGCCGAAATGGAGCTTGATCAGGGTGATTTTTGAGACTGAGATTGGGTTTGAGAGGAAGAACAGAGAGAATAACTGAAACAAAGGAGAAGCGGGCGAGGCCAGAAACGAAAAAGGCGATTTTTGGAGAGAGCCAAAACACAGAGAAGGTTTTGGGGGTTTTTAATAAGGGTTTCTATTTGAGGTCGAAGCAGAGAAGAAATAGGAGGGAAGGAAAGGGGCAAGAAGAGGAATCTGCATCTAAGGCCTTCGGTTTCTTGGTATATCTTTTTCTTTAATCATGTTGTTTTCCGAAATAATTTAATATTGGCTATGCTAAATTTTATCTCCTGGATATTTTGAGCTTGGAACCATTGGCATTAGTGAAGGATAGATGTACAATTTGTTGAGGAGCAGTGTAAAAAGGACGATGAAATAACTAATTCTGTTTTGCAAGATGAAGTTTATGGCTCTAATTAGTAGGTTCTTCTTTACGTCATGATATTGCATTTATAAAATGTTCAGTGGCTGTCATAGATACTGTTTACTTTGGAATCATCCATAAAATTGCTATAAAGTAGAATAATTAGATTTGGGATGCTGGCATTAAATTTTACTTTGAGTTGTCATTTTGATTATAATTCTTGATTATGGTGTTGCTGATGAGGCTAATAGGATTCACGAACACCACTCTGTGCATTCTCCTTTTGTTTTGTCTATTCTGTCACTTGTTCGGTTTGGGATGAGGGTGAGTTTGGTTCTGTTTTACTATTTGGTATTTGTACCCTAATTTAAAGAGTTACTTCGTTGTTTATTTTTTGATTGTATACCTTTCAGTATTTATAATATAATTGCTGCTAGTTGCTATTACTCTTATTAATGTATCTTCTTTTTACCAATCTGTCTTTGCAAATGCTCGTGCTCTAGTTTAAAATGTACTGTTTGTTGTGTTGCATTGTTTTTTTCATGAGCAATACTAGCATTTATTTTCTGTTGGGTATCTGTACATTATAGGTTTACCTGTTATAGTGTCAAACATCCATTGTGAATATTTTATTCAACTTTTATTAGTTCACTATACATTTTCTCATCATTTTATGTTCATGAAAGTTATGGTGAGTTTCTTTTGAATATGGTCAGTTTTGCACTTAATGCCTTGGTATGGTTAAGTACCTAGTTTACGGTGTTAATAGCCTTTCTAACAATGAAAAAGAATAAATGAAAAGGTTGGTTTGATCTTGTGGTGCTAATAAAAAGCTCATGGATCTCACCTTATTCCGCTAAAAAAGAAGATGTCGGTATTTTTGAAGATGGTCGGAAGAAGAACTCAACAAAAATTTGTTTTTCCTTTGTGAATCTTATTAAGTGATCAGTTTTTGGCTTTAGTTTTTGTGTTCCAAAAACATTTTTATAACCAAATGAGTAAAGTGTAAAATGCTTTTGGCAGCGGCAAAAGCCAAAATTTACTTTTAATAGGTTTAGAACCAAAAGCTAGAATGTGTAGTTTTTAGAGAATAGTTTTAGTTTTTATTAAAAATTTACACTTAAAATCTCATAGGTTATTTTCATCAAATACACAATTTCAAATTTTTTTAAAAATGACAACATTTTATACAACTATTTATATCAAAAACCAATTAATTTTTTATTAAAAGCTCTTTTAGTTAATAACTATTTTGACAGCACATTTTAAAACTCACAGTACAAGTTACAACTGTCATAAAAGTCCGCTTACTTTTTTTTTAAACACTTTTGATGTGCTTTAATCCCAATCTCTATAAAATTTGTAAACATTATGAATTCTTAGTTTTTATTTAAAAATAAATGTCCATACCATTAACCGCCTTGGCACCATATCATTTATTCAACTTCCATACTTTTATCTCAAAACAAAAATTAAAAATAAATGTCACTTTCATACGTGCACCTTTTAGTTTGAAAATTAATGAAATATGTACAGAATATACTTGGATTAAGTAGTTTAAAATAGGGTAAGTGCCTCACGTCTTCCTACAATATATTATTTTAGCCTGAACTTCTGATATGGACTGGTCCCTAAATTTTAGTGTCAAATCCCCCTTTTAATAGAACTAATGATGACTCCCATCAAACTTCATATTTCATCACTTCTGGTATGATATCATTGAGCTCAAACCAAAGGCGCTTTTTGCTTCTTGCTAATAAAGGAAGATCCAAATATCTGATAGAAAAATAAGCAGCTTGGTTATCTGATAGAAAAATAAGCAGCTTGGCAACCAAGAATTTGGGATAATGCTCCACGACCCTATCACCAACAGCAACCAATTCATAATTAGCAAGATTAATCTCTAAATTAGAAACTGCTTGAAAGCACGATAAGATTCATTTGATGTTAAGAACAGAGAGCTTGTTTGGTTTTTAGAAGATGAGAAAATCATCTTCGAATCGTAGGTGATGAGACAAAGTCTACTTAACGTCGCCTTCTTCCACAAATAGACCGTAAAGAAGATTTTCCTCCCAAGCTCTGATCATGGTCATGTTAAAAGAATTCTTCTCTCTTATCTTCCTTGCCCCTGAGTATAGAGAAGAAAGGCTTATTGTGATAGTTGTTAAGTCATTTTTGGTTGTTATTGTTGACATTCTGTTGGCAGTTGGAATTGAAACATTGTTGTAGAACACATGTTTAAGTGACTCTACCTGTAGTTCTTTATGCATATTTTTTTGAAAAGAAGTCTATATGCATATTTTTATGGTCATGATTTAGATGTTTCCTGTTGTTGATAGCTTTTTTCAGATTATATGATGGTTCTTAGGATATTAGTTATTGATTTAATGTTTTCATTGCAGGCTTTCTTGTCCTGTTGTTGCTGCTTGCTTTCCTTTCTCAGAGAAACGATCATTCCATGTTGAGACAGTATTTGTGATTTTATTTCAAGGCATCACTGTTGTGGTGAAATAAAGGCTGTTTCCTACCCATTATTGTAACTTGAGGGAGAATAGGTCTTTTTGCTGAAAGGAAAAGCATTGGACCTATCGAAATGGTCTTGATCTACTAAGTATCCCCCACTAATGAGGAAGCCTTAAAATAGTACCCTTGATCAGTCAAATTTTGTATTCTGCTAGTTGTCAGATTGATTACTGTCAGTTATTTGAATCTGCTCAATGGCATGGAGAGGTGTTTTTTACTCTCTGTTTTTTCTTCTAGCTGTTGCTGAATCATCAAGTAGATCAGGGGAAATGTGGTCGTCAATCCTGGGCAGTGAATCAACTATATCCTTCAGCTGGCCAATCTTCAGTGCTAGCATATTTGTCTTTATTGCTCTAGTCCTCTCCATGTATCTAATCTTTGAGCATCTAGCTGCTTATAATCAGCCAGAGGTTCATTTTCATCTTCCTGTAGTGTTTCATACTTTTTTTTTCTCTGTTGCATTATAAAGCCACTCTTTTTTCTTGTTGCATTATAAAGCCACTCTTTTTTCTTGTTGCAGTAAACATTGCATCTTGGAACTTTCTCTTTATATGTATATATACATTTAAATATATATAGCTTTATCAGCAGAAGTCAATATTATCAATTAACTGATCTAATATCAGCTTCCAAATGTATACCTATAACATTGCTGTTTATTTTCAGGAACAAAAGTTTCTGATTGGACTCATTCTGATGGTACCTGTTTATGCCCTGGAATCGGTATGAAAGTGATTTACAAAATTTATTCTCTCACCTGCCACCATGGCTTTTTTTTCTTAAAATTTTATTTTTCATGTTTATATTTCTCTAGTGGTTTTCATGTTGGGAGTTCTTAATCAAAAACAAAAAGAGTGACATTCTGTGTTGAAATTCTTCAAAGATATACTATTCTGTCATTTTAACTATAGAAATTTGATGAGTTTTTCCAATGACATCTATGCTAATTATGTATTGTGAATGGACGTGTCCACATGCATAGGGATCCACACGAATAAACAAAATAACTCTTTCACCACAAAAGGGCAGCCTAACCCTTGGCAAAGTAGACAAGAACCATGAGCCTGTACCAAAATGACATAAAGAATGTGAATCTGTGTCAAAGAAGATTGTTGAAAATACAGCATTCCTTTCTAGCAGCATGACATAAAACCTAATAGTCGTCATCTATAATATATTCTATTTGTGATTTTCTCCAAACCCATGCAAATTTGTATAAAAATTTCAAGGGTTAGGGGAAGACCGAATACTTAACAAATTAACCAAAAGAGTTTAGTGCATAGCTTCCGTGCCACTTGAAAGAGAAGGAAAAAGATGGCTTATAAGGTTTGGAGCTTTGTTACATGTCAACCATGCATTCAAAGGTAGGGGTAATTTTGGTGCACCCTTTTGCTTTGTAATCCTACTCATATGGTTAAAGTCTAAGAAGCATGAATTGTGTGTAAAATGCTAGAATTGTTTAAAGACCTGAGTTCCCTGCCCATGCTAGATCCAAAGGCTAGATTACTGGACCGTTGCGGTTCTATTTTAAAGTATATATCTGTTCATGCTTATGTTTTTAGCATGGTGTGTATAATTCTGCTGGCTATAAGTTTTTTTGTGTATACTCAAGGCTTGGAAGGGTTTTCTGATGGAGAAAAAACACTTAAGGCTTGTTCCTCTAGCTACTATTTGGACTCTATGGAAGGAGAGGAGTAGAAGGGCATTTGATGGGATTGAATTCTCTTTCGACAGATCTAAGGATTCTTGGTTCCAAGCTATAAGTTTTTTTGATAAAGAGTCGACCACTGTATTCTAACGAGGAGTTTGGGGACATCACAGACATTTTGCTTGATTCATAAATATTTCTCATACGTGTTTGCACCCACTTCATGTCTTATAAGCTACACTCTTCATCT